AAGACCCAGGATGTTGGGGATTTAGCCACATAGAATTCCACTGTTTCTCAAGGCCATGGCAGGCCAACATGGCATGTGGGAAAGATGGTGAATCAGGGAAACCCCCAAGAAATCCTAAACAGGGAACTCAAAGAAGAATTGATACAGCTTTTTAAGATGAGAAAGGACCACTTAAAAAGTTCCAAATGGAGGCTGTGGATGTGGTTCAGTGTAAGAGTGCTTACCTTGTCTGTGTAAGGCCCTGAGTTCAATCCCTAGCACCACAACAAACAAACAAACAAAACCAAAAAATCAAAACAGCAATAAAGACAAAGAAATATTCCGAATGGGGGACTTTAAGCTGTATTCAATAAAATGTGCTCGAATTCTGTTTCTAAACACATACAATGGAAAATGAGATGAATGAAAAGAAAAAGAGATTAAAATCTAAATGTGTCATAGTCTCAAGGACAAAGATCAATAAAAATACATGTGCTGTGTATGCAGGACTATCTACTAGTAACAGTTTTTTGAAGCCCAGGTGACCACACCTTAAGGATTAAAAGTCAACCTAAACATTGTCAGAATTTGTCACAGCAGTGGTCTTTTTTTAATTAAAATTTTTTTTATGAGAGCATCATAATTATACACATTAATTGTATAACAATTTTAACAATGCCTAGGGCCTCACACATGCCTAGGCAAGCACTGTACTACTGAGCTACATCCCCAGCTTAGACTTAGACTTTTTAAACCCATGACTTCTTAAAAACTTACCTTTTGTTTACCTTAATAATGAAAAGTAATTTCTGCTCTGGAAAATAAATAAGTTTAGAACTTTACTTTGTGAAGATAGATGTCTATGTATATGGAGTAACTTTGCTTCGTGGCCTCTTAAAATGTGGCTGATAAAAACCTTTATAAATGCCATGCTATGATTTTATCCACCTAACGGATAAATCTGCATGTCCTGTGCTGAATCAATTATGATTAAATTACAGCTAGAGTTTTCCTGCTCTATCTCATTGCTTCTAGATAAGTGCAGAGAGTCCAGGGCTGAGGCTAGGCAAGCCATAGGCTCCAGAATAAGTAGGAAAAATCAGAAGGGGAAGATATTCAAGTGCTCAAGTTTCTTTATGGCCCATATAAAAACCCATTCAGTTTTTCATTTATATCTATTGCACATCTGGTATTTTCCTGGTGCCTTCTCAGATACCAAGGGTCCAATGAGTGAGTAAGAAACAGTCTGCCCTAGTGGGAATTGAAGTTTGGAGAGGACTGAGGGAAAACGGAAAAGTGGGGATACCAAGAGGGGAGGGTTGGTTAGGGGAGGAGAGGGACAGGTATCTATCCTCCTAGTTGACTTCTAATCTCTAGCAGAAGGGAAAGCTTCCTGTGAGAGCCACTCATCCCCTGACAGGCAGCTTCTCTCCCACTGCAGCTGCACATTGTCCATTATAACTCAGACCTGTACCCCAACGTCAGCTCTGCCAGTGACAAGTCAGAAGGCCTCGCTGTCCTAGCTGTCCTCATCGAGGTAAGAAATGTTTAAAAGGCTTTTATGAAATTTGTAGAGAGGATAAGTTTGAGATTTGACGTTTTGTTCTGTGCACACCTGAGGTAATAAGCTGATCCCTTATGCTCCCCCATGTTACCCCCAGAGCATGAATAGTCCCTTTGAGTTCTTTCTTGGCCTAGAGGCAGCCCTTTCTGTGGTTGGAGAGGGGAAATGGACATGTCTTTTGTGACATTGGAAAAAATAAGGCCCAGTCTCCAGCCTTGTTGCATGAGGCATGTAATTTGCTCAGCAAGGGAGAATCTGTGGGGAAGGGGGTCATTATGCTGCCCTGTCAGATGCTGAGCCCCTGACTTGTCCTCCAGTATCCAAACTCCATGCTATCTATATATGGACCCCAGAGTGAATTCTTTACTCAGAAAATGAGATCATCTTCTGATTAGCTTGCGTATTCCCTAATGAGGCAGTATTACCTCAGTTCCCAAAGTGCTTACTTCTCTGATTTGGTTTTTGTGAACCCAGAACTCCCTTAAGTTCTGGGTTAGATGGACATGCTAGTTGTGGCCTCCAGGCTCATGTACAGATAATTGGATACCATGTACAGACACTCTGTACCCCATGCCATGGGACACTCAAGCCTGATGCCTTCAGTTGTAAATAGGAAATCCTTTGATATGACATGGCAGGACCATTACACTAACTCCCAAAAGCCTCTGAACCATCCAAACTATCCTAGTAGGATGAATTCTTAGAGATGACCGAGGGCAGGTGGCTATATACCATCAGCTCAGCCCTTCTGATAGCAATTGTCAATCCAGACTTAGCCTGTAGTATTCTGTCCTAGCAAAACCTGCATGATCTCTGTTGCAGATGGGCTCCTTCAATCCATCATATGACAAGATCTTCAGTCACCTTCAACATGTAAGGTACAAAGGTAAGGGGCCCTTGGATTCTTATCCCCTTTCTGCTCGAGAAGGATATAGTCACACTGTTTAAGGAAAACAATGGAAAGGGAGGGTTCCTCCTGTGTTTACCAGGGTAAGGGCTGCAGGTTGTTTAAAAGTGTATGACAAGGCTTTTGGGTTGGATGACCCACAGAGGGGGGAGTTCACATTTCTAAGTGTAGTCATTCTGCTTAGGTGCACTTCTGCTGTGGGGAGTGAGGCTGACACTGTCTCCCCAACATGTCTCTCCAGGCCAACAAGTGCTCATCCCAGGTTTCAACATTGAAGAACTGCTTCCCGAGAGGCCTGCCGAGTACTACCGATATGAAGGGTCCCTGACCACACCTCCTTGCCACCCCACTGTGCTCTGGACGGTTTTCCGAAATCCTGTGCAAATTTCCCAGGAGCAGGTAACTGCCTGAGCCAGAGTCCCCATGGTACCTTGGTCCCCACCACAAACCATATCACAATCATTGACTCTATTTCCTTGTTTAAGAGTTTCATTGGCAGCTATTCAAAACCTCTCCAAATATCACCGGTGCCTGAAAACACTGCAGAAATTATAGGCTGAGCTTCAGAGAGGTGCTACGAAGTCAAGCTAGGAAAATGAATGCTTGCCTCCACAGTTCTTTAAAAAAAAGGGCTGAAAGGCTGCATTTGTTAATATATTCCTTAGCAGCTGGGTGGTATTCACTTCCCAGGTCAGGGAGGAGCCTGGTTCTTTTAAAAGGCAAAAAAGAGATGGCATCAAGTTAAATCATTTCACAAATGGGGTGTGCGATTGCAGTAATGAGTGAGGGTTGCTGCCCTCAAGAAGCTCAGTCTACTGCAAAGTGGGGTACAAAGTTCTTAGCAACCGTCTCTAAGTCTCTCATGTTATAGTGATAGAAATGAAGGTTAGACGCTTGCTGGATCATCCACTGGTTAATGACAAAGCTGAGCTCCAAAGTCAGGTCTTCTGGGTTTAAAGTTATAGCTCACCCCTCTCTGCCACAACTTAAAAGCATGAAAAAGAAAATTGGCTCCCCCAGGAGCTGGAGCTTCACACCTGCTCACCCCTACCTCAGCTTCATGGTCCCGTACAGTCCTCACTGTTGCTCCTAATCTTCACTACCAGCTTCTGAGCTGAGAACCTAGATAAATTGGCAGCAGGTAGGCGGATGGGAGCGAGGATGGTGAATCAGGAGGTGAAATTGTGGGGAAGCAGCAGCATGCTAACCCAAAAACTACCTTGGAAATTGATTATATAATCTCTGTGGGTATGTGAAAATGCCAGGAAGCCAGTTGTCAGATGACCTAGAAACCTCTTAGCTCTCTCCTTTTATTCTTCTGTGACTACTGGAACAAGCTCCAGCCCCTTTGCTTTAAGAGCTGGGGTTCTGGCACACACCTGTAATTTCAATGATACAGGAGGCTGAGGCAGGAGGATTACAAGTTCAAAGCCAGCCTCAGCAACTTAGTGAGGCTCTAAACAACTTAGTGAGACCCTGTCTCAAAACAAAACTCAAAAAAGAGTTCGTGGCTCTTTGTTTGAGCACCCCTGAATTTTTTAAAAAAAGAGTTGGGTTTTCAGTTTGAGGGGAAGGGAGCCTCCGTGAGAAGCTAAGGAGCCCCCTCTCTCTCCAGCTTTCCCTCTGTGGGGACAGATTCTGGGTGTAACCAGGGCCCAGCAGCATGGCCCTTCCCTGGAGTCTCTGCAGCTGGAAAACACCAGCGCTGACCAGCATCCAGTTAACAAGACTCCTGTGGAAGCAGGAAGAAACAGTTCTCTGGCTTCCCCACTGCTTTCTAATGCCTCCTATTAAGCACCCCATGGGCTGGTTCCAGAGGCTTCTCCCAGGAGCTCTCTTCAGGGAGGCCAGACCAGGGAATATCACTCTGCCCATGGGTACGTTTCTGCTCTTCCCCTCAGCTACTGGCTTTGGAGACGGCTTTGTATTTCACACAAGTGGATGACCCTTCACCAAGAGAAATGATCAACAACTTCCGTCGGGTCCAGAAGTTCGATGAGAGACTGGTGTACATCTCCTTTCGACAAGGTGAAGGAAGCAGTGTGTGCCTGGTGATAGAGCTCTGTTTCACACCAAGTTTGTCTCTGGCACTGATGCCCTTAGGAGATGGGCTAAGAGCACTCTGGCTGCCACAGAAACTGGGGTAATAGCTCCTTGAGGTGTTGCGGGTTACTAGTTACTGACCTAGGCCAGGATCTCCAGACACATCAATCAGGTCCCTTGCTAAGTCTGGAGGTCTCCCACAGTGGGGAAAGAGAGGTTCTTGGAGACATCTCTGTTCTGAAGAAATGATCCCTGCTCTTAAGACTTACAATAGGACCCTTTTTACAGATGAGACTTGTAACTTCTCTTCCTAGGGCTTCTTGGCATCAAGGGCTGCATCCATCCTGCCCTAAGCCTAGCCAGGTGATTCCAGCACTACCAATGTCCAGCAGCACTCTTTTGTAATATTGTGAGCATAACCATTTCCATGGCCACGAGCAACTCAAGGCCTAGTGTAGCAGGGCCCACTGGGCATCAAAGCATCCTCCCCACTCAGCCTTTTGTCTAATCTCCTTGGAGCTTGCATAAGCGCAGGTATACATGTTCCACACTGAACGAAGCTTAATAGTGTGGTTTATTCCTAAGGCAAATGGGGCTCACTCTTTCTTTTAAATCTGTAACTTCCAGGTCAGCTCAGAGCTTCCTTCAACACTGCTGGAAGCTGGGGGTTAGGGAAGGTGATAAAGGAGCAGTAGTCTCTTCTGGATACAGCATTCTCTTTTCCCGTTCTTCTAAGTGGAATATATAGTATTTAAGCAAACAGGGCTGCTTCCCAAGGAGGAATAAAGAGGCAGTCCCTAAGGAGTTCATTTTCTCACTCTTGATTCTTGAGCTTCTCCCAGGTGGAAATCTTTTGAGTGGTCAGAATCATGGAAGGTCTGTGGACATTCCACTTCATCTTTTATGTCACTCATGGACTGACTATTCATATTTAAAGATGACCCCATTAACTCACTTGCCAGAGAATCCATGCCCCTCATCTCTCCTGTGCACTTTTTTTTTTGTTCCTTTCTTATGATGTGAGAACTATTGCCTCCTCAGCATAGTTGTGTAGATGAAGATTGTGTTCAAGGCCCTTGTCAGAAAGCTTTAGAAAGATTCTCTTCTGAATTACCCACTCATAGTCAGAATGATGTCCTCTATTAGTTTTGTAATTAAGAACTGCCCAAAGATTCGCATTCTGTGTTCTGCTCTTCAGATACTACTAGTTAACTCCACTTTCCTCTTTTCCTTGGTTTCTCAGTCTGCAAACTGAATCTGTGAACAATGGCCCCTTGCCAAAAATTGAGAAGCTATAATATGATAACTATCAACTTCTTTTTCTAGGAAATGACCCCAATTTCCAGGATGCTTTCCTTTGTAATCTATTCTGGATACAGCATTCTCTTTTCCCATTCTTCTAAGTGGAATATATAGTATTTAAGGTTTAAAAGTACTCCAACTCTTAAATAAATTTAAAAAAACCATATACTTCTACTAGAGATAAGGGACTTTGCTGACATTGATTCAAGAATTCTACTCTCAGTTATGTTTTCCAAAATAGTCTATACACATCGCTGGGAATGAGGTAATAAATACTTTCCCTATAGTCAGAGGGGCTTGGTCCAAAGCCTCATCTCATTTTCTGCCCCATGTATGATGTAGACAAATCATATCTCTTTTTCAGCCTTGGTTTCCTCAGTCACAATATGCCTTAGCCTTGGTTTCCTCAGTCACATAAGATGAAGTGATCTTTTCAGTTCTAATATGTTATGATTCTAAAAATGGACACTAACAACTACCAATCCTAACTTTATGTTGCAGGGACAGAGTTTGAGGGCAATTACAGAGGATCGGAAGAAACCGTGCAGGAATTTGATTATGACATCTAAAAGTAACCCCCACTTGTAACAATGGACTGTGGCATTGGGAATAATTAGCCATCTTCTTAGACTGGCTAAGGTCTAAGCAGCTGCTTGTAGACTGGGCAGTGCAGGCAGGTCTATAGCAGAGCACTTCTGTAGTTCTCTAAGTCTAGTTGGGGTAGTTTGACAGGGCTCTAAGCAGAAGCTTGCAAACCAACTCCTAGCTTAGGACATCAAGATCAAAGCTCCAATACAGCTTTGCCACTGACCCTCTTGCATGGCTTGACCAGAAATGTTGCTTCCATAGCCAATCCTGGGCTCAGCCTTCTCTTTGGAATGAGAATCCATGGCAGTCCAAGGAAAACCTGTTCTGGAGGCTGATTATAGAAACTTGGCCTGAGTTCTCCTCTCCCTCTTACTTCCCAAAGCACTGATAGCAAACAGGGCTGCTTCCCAAGGAAGAATAAAGAGGTAGTCTCCAAGGAGTGAAAACCCAGACTTCATCTGCCCAGGGATGCATGCATTCTCGAGGGCCTCTCATGCAACTTGGAGCAAGTCTCAGACTGATATTTGCTCTTTCAGGTTTATAGTGTGAGTCTGTTTGTCAAAATGAACCTTGAGCAATTTGGACTTATATGCAGACTTTTAAACCACTGAGGCAAGTTTATAATGAAGAGTCTGTTTTATCAGGGTCTTCTCTGGAAGTTAACAAGAGTTATGGGGTTAGAAAATTCTTCCAGGAGAAAAGTAGTGTAGAGGAAAACCCTAGGAGAGAAGGTGCAGAGAACTGGGCAGGATAGAAGGCGGCGGGAGGGAAATCTGGGGTTTAACAAATGGAGATACTTGTGACTGAATCATTTAACTTGACCCTGCTGTTTTCCTAGATTGTGCTCAGGAAAGGAGTGCAGGACCTGCTGTCCATCTCTAAGGAGTTTATAGTCTAGCCATACCTTAGCCTAGGGTTTTTCAACCTTGGTACTATTGACATTTTAGGTGAGATAATTCTTACTGTGGGAGTGTCCTGTATACTGTGGCATTAGCAGCATCCCTGGTCTCTATCCACTAGATGCCAGTGGCATCTCCCCATTTTATATTGTTATTTTTTTTGGTACTGCGAATTGAATTTAGGGATGCTTTACCACTGAGCCACATGCCCAATCTTTATTTTTTATTTGAGACAGAATCTTGCTTAGGAGCCTTTCTGAGTTGCTAAGGCTAGCCTTGAACTTGCAATCCTCCTGCCTCAGACTCACAAGGCACTGGAATTACAGGTGTGTGTCATGGCACCCAGCACATCTTCCCCATCCGTGGTAGCCAAAAAATGTCTCTAGACATTGCCAAGTTCTCCAGGGGAAGTGGGGTAAAATGATCCAACTATAAACCACTGCTCCAGGTGTCGTTCAGTGGCTCCTTGGCCCAAACTGGTTTTTTCCACTCATGTCATAGGATTCTAGAGTTGTATATCACATACCCTGTTCTTTATTATATTATAGCATGAAATTTTCAGTTTAG